TGTCACCCAGGCTGGAGTACAGTGGTGGGATCTCAGCTCACTGCAACTTCCGCCTCCCAGGTTTAAGCAGTTCTCTTGCCTCAGCTTCCTGAGTAGCTGGGATTATAAGCACCTGCCACTGTGTCCAGCTAATTTTTGTCTTTTTAGTGGAGACGGGGTTTTGCCGTGTTGACCAAGCTGGTCTTGAACTCCTGACCTCAAGTGATCTGCCCACTTTGGCCTCCCAAGGTGCTGGGATTACAGATGTGAGCCACTGCACCTGACCATGGTTTTTTTTTTGAGATGGAGTCTTGCTCTGTCACCCAGGCTGGACGCGCAGTCGCACGATCTTGGCTCACTGCAACTTCTGCCCCCTTGGTTCCAGCAATTCTCTGCCTCAGTCTCCTGAGTAGCTGAGATTATAGGCACCCACCACCACACCTGAGTAGTTTTTGTATTTTTAGTAAAGACAGGGTGTCACCATCTTGGCTAGGCTGGTCTTGTACTCCTGATATTGTGATCCACCCACCTCAGCCTCCCAAAGTGCTGGGATTACAGGCATGAGCCACTACACCTGGCTGTGCTTGGCCATGTTTTTAAGTGTGTTGTGCATAGTTCATTGAGTTTGGATGAACAGAAATACAGATGCAACCACCATAGTCAGTATAGAACGTTTGCATTACCCCAAAAGTCAGGCTTTACTCCTTCCCAGGCAATTCCCCCTCCCAGTCCCAAGTAGCCACTGACTTCCTTTTTTTAAATATTGTATTTTTGTTAAACACATTTTTTCTCATAATAAAAGTAATACATACTAATCAAGGAGTCCAGAAAATATAGAAAACTATAATAAAGAAAAACAAAAGTCTTAGTCACATTATCCAGAGACAGTTCATATTCTTATTTGTATGTATTTTCTTCCCATTATGTGTGTGTGTGTGTGTGTGTGTGTATTTAATAATACTGAGGCCATGATCTATACACAACTTCTTTGGTGATTGCATATTTTTCTGTGAAGAGTGTATCTAAAATCATTTTGCTCACAGAGCCTCCAATTGACTCTACATTTGATTAATGGCACCAGTTTACTCAAGCCAGGAACCTGAGTTGCTATGAAGAATAGATCATTTTTTTTCCTGGTACATTTTCTAGTGGGTTGTTGCTGTTGTAAAAAGAAAACCACTGAGTTTCTATATAGTGTATTTAACTTGTATACATTGACCTTCTTGAATTCTATTTTATATAGTTTAAAAAAATATTTTCTTAGATATTTTAATATGTAATATTTAATATTTAGATATGTAAAATAATCTCTTCTGTGAATAATAGTCTTTTTTTGCTGTCTGATTTTTATGCTTCCTTCTTTCTTTTCTTCTTTTTACTTCCTGAGTATAAATAAATCCTGGACAGGCACAGTGTCTCATGCCTGTAATGCTAGCACTTTGGGAGGCTGAGGTGGAAGGATTGCTTGAGGCTAGGAGTTAGAGACTAGCCTGGGCAACATAGCAAGATCTCGTCTCTACAAACAAACAACAAAATATATGTATATATGAAGTTAGGTGGGCATGGTGGCATGTACCTGTAGTGCTAACTACTTAAGCGGCTGAGTCAGGAGGATCCCCTAAGCCCAAGAGTTCAAGACTGCAGTAAGCTATGATTGTGTCCTTGCACTCCAGCCTGGGTGATAGAGTAAGACCCTGTCTCTAGTAAAAAGAATTAATCCTGACATGCAAAACACTGCAGAACAGCCTAGCAGCTTGTGGGGAGCCAAGGAAAGAACTCTGAGGCCCATGGAGGAAGCTTTTAGGCTGAACATTCTTAAATAGCTCGAACCCTGTTAGACTTCCCCTATCTATTTGCGTAGTCTTATTTTGTGGATCTGCTCCAACGCTGCTCGCTTACAATAGGGTCGAAATGAATTTCCAGATATGACCAAGACCCATCTGGTTCTTCGCAGAGAGCTGTGCCAATCTGGGAATGAACCAAGTTCATCCATGGTTTGTAACGTATAGGAAACATGCAAGAACTGCCAAGTGGTTTCATCTGTGCCTATATTCTCCATAAAGTGACTTAGCAATACTTATTTAAAAATCAGGGGTGTGTGTGTGTGTGTGTGTGTGTGTGTGTGTGTGTGCTTGAGCGCATGCATGCATGCACACACGTGTGGCCTCATTCTAAACTTTGGAGGGTGGGAGGAACTCGTGATGGGCATTTTGTCTTCTGAGCCCATAATATACTGTGCTTGTCATGATATGTAGTATTTGCAAGCTTAGGGAAAAAATTTAAGTATGACGCAGAACTGGGTAAGGCGGGTATGAGCCTGGGTGAACTTCTGAAGCCAGGGGACCTTCAATCATTTTTCATGGGACAAACAGTAAAGGATTGTTGTTAAGGCTTGAAGGGGCATAAAGGGAGACCTTGCCTTTGTGAGGCCTCAACTTTGTTTATAACTGTACAGGTGGTTGAAGGAACTTGTCGGGAAGAAAATGGAGTAAGCCTGGGGGAAGGTTTGCCTGCTCCTCTACGTTAGGAAAAAAACCCCAGGGAAAAACACAAGACCTGAGTAACAGCTTTTGGGTCTCTGTGACCTGGGTTAGAAGAGAGCTGGGTCTTCCCCCAGGAAGTACTCGGGCACCGTGACAAATAAGAATAGCCACGAATCAACTGCCCTTAGCTCTCAGAAGTAAGGGTGTGAGACAAACAACATTCCAGCAGTTCTAATTCTCCAGGGGATTGAAAAGCCAGTAGTAGGCAGAAGAGGCTTCTGTGCATGCATCACTCAAGCAGAATCAGAGTGGGGCCACTCCATCAACTGCTCACCAGCAGTGCTTGATGAGCTACGTAAAAAAAAAACTGAGAGCAAGTGTTTAGAAACTTTTATAGCAATTGATCAAACAATTTTAATTTAATTTCTGTTTAATCTATTTTTTTTTTTTTGAGACAGAGTCTTGCTCTGTTGCCCAGGCTGGAGTGCAGTGCTACCATCTCTGTTCACGGTAACCTCTGTCTCCTGGTTCAAGCGATCCTCCTGTCTCAGCCTCCGGAGTAGCTAGGACTACAGTCATGCACCACCATGCCCAGCTAATTTTTGTATTTTTATGTAGAGAAGAAGTTTTGCCATGCTGCCCAGCTGGTATTAAACTTCTGGGCTCAAGTGATTTGCTTGCCTTGGCCTCCCAAAGTGCTGGGATTACAGATCTGAGCCCTTGTACCTGACCTGAAAAGAATTTCAAAGGGGGGCTTGACTTTATATGTCTTTTAAAATTTAATGTTTCTATTCATTCGTTTTCATTACATTTCTATCACAAATTGGAAATAAAAGAACATAGGCCCTTCACTAGTGATGATTTGAGGAGCACCAAGACAGTAGGGTGCCCTGTGGAGTAGACAGTGGGTCAGTAGACAGAACGAGGGGATCTCAGCAAATGCCAGGCACTCAAGGAGGGCTTCCTGGGGCAGGGACTCAAGTTAGACTTTGGGGGATAAGCAGGACCTTGACAAATGGAGAGGACCCCAGGTCACTCCTACAGCCATGAGGGAGTGCTCACACTCACTATAAGCATGTTTGCGAGTTACTTTTAGTGCGTGTACTTTCTCTTCCAAACACGGTGCTAGGTGCAATGGGCAGTTTGTAGCACTGAGAGCTGAATGTTATGGGAGCCAGGGCTTTGGGTTCTGGATACAGCCCTTTTAAAATCTCCCTGAATAGCACCAGCAAGATCATTTAGCCCTTCCCACCCTCCCACCCTCTAAACTATAAGAGCCGTAAGGGCAGGGACTGTCTTCAGTGAGCAATGCCTAGCTCACCCTGACAAATAACAAGTTCCCAGTAAAATTTTTGGTGAATGAATGGACAGGTTTCAGTCGTAACACCTGAAAAATGTGCGGTGGAGAAGAGGGAGGCTAGGTAAGATTGGTTATTTTGCAACTGTAAAGTGAAAAACTATATTGTGTAGCCAACCTGTCCTGCAAGAAGCTCCAGGAAATCAAGTTTTGTGGCTGGGTTATCAAAACAGGGATTCTGTTAACAAGGAAAAGGGGAGCATGGGCATGTACTGGCAACTGTTGGTATTTACCACAATATATATGTGTGATTTTTTCCCCCTTTTATATTACCAAGAGAGTCTTCAAGGAAGGAGTTCTTTTTAAAGAGAATGTAGGCCAGGCACATTGGCTCATGCCTGTAATCCCAACACTTTGGGAGGCCAAGGTGGGTGGATCACTTGAGGTCAGGAGTTCAAGACCAGCCTGGTTAACATGGCAAAACCCCATCTCTATTAAAAAATACAAAAATTAGCTGAGCATGGTAGCAGGTGCCTGTAATCCCAGCTACTCGGGAGCTGAGGCAGGAGAATCGCTTGAACCTGGGAGGTGGAGGTTGCCGTGAGCCAAGATTGTGCCACAGCACTCCAGCCTGGGCAACAAAATGAGACTCAGTCTCAAAAAAATAAAAATAAAAATAAAATAAAGATAATGCAGAAGGAAGTTTTATAGAAAAGAATAAGAAGGACATTGAAGCAGGAGGAGTGCTGTGTGTCTATAGCTGGGAGGCAGGAGTTGGCTGGCCCTGGTGGAGGCCTGAGCAGGCAGCCACTGCTCCTCACTACCTTGGCAGGCACAGGACCCTCCAGCCCGGGTGACTGAGCTCCAGCTACCTGCTTCTCTTCTCCTGCCTCCCCACTAAGCAGAAGCGACCCCTGTGACATTGGCACAGTCAGGGGCCCGGGACCCAGCCCTGAGGCTTGAGAGATCTCTCCCTTCTGCAGGCTTTTGCCACAGGATCCCTGATCCCCCACCAGGTCCTCAAGCACTTGAGGGAGTGCTCAAGGACCCTCACTGTCTAGGACAAAATCGAACCACCTTTTTCTCTTTCTCACCCGCTGATTTCTCCTCTCCCATTCTCTCCATCCTTCTCCTCCTCTCTGTGGCAATGGCAAAGCACCAGCAGGAAGTGAGGAAACTGACCGTCCTCTCTCCATTTCAGGCGTAGCAGAGACTCCTTGGGAAGACTCACAGGACTGTACCCATTGCCTACCATGTCTCTGTGCCCACCTTTCCGATGCGGATGGAAGCCGGGGCCAAGGGACTCTAGAGGGGCCTCTCCACAGCTTCCCGATCAGGATTTCGAGGCCCTGCTGGCAGGGTGCCTGAGGAATGGCTGCCTCTTTGAAGACACCAGCTTCCCAGCCACCCTGAGCTCCATTGGCAGCGGGTCCCTGCTGCAGAAGCTGCCACCCCGCCTACCGTGGAAGAGGCCCCCGGTGAGGCAGACCCTCCTGCCCCAGGGTTTAAGGCATTTGGATATATAAGATATATGGGAGGAAAATAAGGCTTTTCCTACTCTCTGCTCTCCACTCAACACAACATACTCTTCTAACACCAGATGTGTGGGAGGCTTTCTCCACACGCCAAGAAATTCTCTAGTGGCCACCACGTGGGTATTCTGTAATGAAATTTAATTCCGACACTGTCTACCTAGAGACAGTGTCAGATCTCGCAGGTTGAGTGCACATCCCACAAGACTGCCCCCACTTCTCAGGTGCCAATCTCAAGTCCCAGGTTGTGACCTGTACTTCTCATGACCGGCCATAAATCAGGGCTGCCACGATCCTCTCCGTGGATTTGATTAATTTGCTAGAGAGGCTCACAGGACTCAGGGAAATGCTTCACTTACATTTAATGATTTATTATAAAGGGCATTACAAAGGTTGCAGATGACAGCCCGGTAGAAGAGAGGCATAAGGCAAGGCATGGGGAAGGGCTGTGGAGCTCCTATGCCCTCCTTGGGTATGCCACCTTCCAGGGACCTCCATGTGTTCAGATATCCAGAGCTCCCTACACCTTGTCCTTTGGGTTTTCATGGAAGATGTATTACCTAGGCGTGATTGATTACATCATTGGCCTTTGGTGATCAACTCAACCTTCAGTTTCCCTCACCTCCCCAGAGGCCAGGGGGTAGGGCTAAATGTCCCAACTTTCTAATCCTGCCTTGGTCTCTTCAATGGCCAGACCCTATCCTGAAGCTATCCAGGGAACACCAGCCACCAGTCAATCATGAGCATATAAAGGACACTCTTATCACTCTAGAGGTTCCTAAGGTTTTAGGAACTGAATGTCAGAAAACTGAGTGAATGAAGACCAAATATATATTTCACGATATCACACCAGGTCTTACTGTCATTGATCTCCCTGAGAAGGGAACTGGTTATGTTCCCACATTCTCACTTTCCAGATGCAGAAAACCAGGGGTGATTTTGAGAGTGGTGTAAGATGTAGCTCTCCTTCAGCCCTGCCCAGAAATATGCAGAGCAACTAGAGCCAAAAATACATCAAGGTACTGTTCAGCTTCATCTGAGATGGCAAGGCTTCCTGAGTCACAGCCAATACCATCTGCCAGAGAGATAAATTTTAACATATCTCCAACCTCCTCCCCACAAAGCAGGCTCATGAAACGTGTAAATTAAGAAGCTATTAATCACTTTACAGAAGTATTCTTCACTTTATAAAATATATCAACTTCCTTTAAAAAGCAACTTCTTAATGTGTTCAAATGTGATCCATCTCCCTGAAGCTTGATTTACATACAAGGTTTCAGGAACACGGCTAGCAAACAGCCTATGCAAGCCTGTGCCACAGACACTTTCCTTTATTCTTCCCCACTCACCCACCACCATTGATACCTTCAGCCCCAGACTTATGAAGTCCCTATCCTGAAGTCTTATGAAGTCCCTACTGTGTGTAAAATTATGCAGTGAGCCTCCTACACTACATGGAAATCCTGGGAACTGCTGACACAGAGACTCTGTTCTATACCTGACTCTTGGGGAAACTGTGTCCACACAAAGACTGAAGGATTTAAATCTTGCCACGGAGGAGAGGCCACCCCCTTACCACCCCACTCCGGGCTCCATCTCAGCAGGAAAAGCTGAAGAGACCATCAGAGTGGTCAGGAATAGGAAGGAAGAATAGGGGAGAAAAAAGAGGAACAGAAGACCTCCAGGAAAACTGAGAATACCTCAGTATCTACACAGAGTTCTCCAGGGCTCTGACTTATACGAGCTGTAAGAAGGAATGAGAAATACAAAGGACAGAATTGTGTATCCCAGATCTTTTGGGATAGCACTGATTTCACATATATTCTGTATCTGTGTCCCCCTCAGTCTAGTTTTGAGGTATGGGAAAACATGGTCCTTGTAGCTCCAGGAGCTTTGTTGGTCTAGGTCAGAATGACAGTTCTGTTTGTCTCCCCCAGGAGCTGCACAGCAATCCCCAGTTTTATTCTGGCAAGGCTAAAAGGCTGGATCTGTGCCAGGGCATTGTAGGTAAGTTTGCACAGCCCCCAGAGACCACACACCAGGTTGCCTGCTGGCCCGGCTTGGCCAAGACAGGGTGGATGATAAAGAAGAGAATCCAGTGATCACCGCTGGAGAGAGCCCCAGAAATGGTTATTCACTGGCAAACCCTGAACACCACCTGGAAGGCTCTGTACTTTGCTGTGAAGTTTAGAAAAGCTGGTCCTCTGAGGATGCGTGGGAATGTCATATCCTGCCTGAGTCCTCACATCGTCCTCATTACCAGTTGACAGGTCTAAATTTTAAGTTTGGAAAATGTGCTCATTCTATTTTAGCTCCCACAATGGGGCCTTCTTGAGATAGCAGTCATTAGCCTCCCAGAACAGGATCAAAGCAGACCTATCCTCAACTCTACTTTTTAAAAATAGTAAATTGGTCATCAGGGAAGGCCCAAGTCCAGTGATATCCATTTCACAGACAGGGAAATGGGGTCCTGAAGGGTTCAGGCTTTCTCAGAAGAACATAAATCAGTTTCCGAGGCAAGCTTTGGAAAAAGGGGGTGATGTTCAGATCCAAATTCCTGAGGATAGGGCATTCAGAAATCTAAAAGCTGGTCCAGGAACACAGCTCTGGTTTTGGTGTCAAGTTGGATTTCAGCCAGTGCTCCCAGTGCCCCACTCTGCTCACTCATCATCTGCCTGCCCAGGATATACTTCCCTTCTCCTAAACTAGGCTGCTAGCCCAGAGAGGGTAGCCACTGGGACCGGGCATTTCCTGCAGGCATGAAGTCCCCAGTAGATTCATGCAGATGCTGTGTGCTGTCTGACTTAGGAGACTGCTGGTTCTTGGCTGCTTTTTAAGCTCTGACCTTGCAACAGGACATCCTGAGCTGGGTTGTTCCCCTGAATCAGAGTTTCACTGAGAAGTATGCTGGCATCTTCCAGTTCTGGGTGAGTGTCTTTCCAGGGCCTTGGGCCGGAGGAAGTCATATGAAAGAGGGTTTCTGGAGGACCATGTCTTCACCTTCCGGGCTCACCACCATCTGCAGGAGTCCTCATTCATCAGGGGCCACTCTCTCCCTCCAGTTCTGGCACTACGGGAACTGGATTCCTGTGGTGATCGATGACCGTCTGCCTGTGAATGAGGCTGGCCAGTTGGTCTTTGTCTCCTCCACCTATAAGAACTTGTTCTGGGGCGCGCTTCTGGAAAAGGCCTATGCCAAGTAAGAAATCGGCAGAAATACCCCCCTTCACATCGCTTCTTTTTCTCTCTCTCAATGTTCAGGGAGGGGAGTAGAGTCAGGTTAAGTTTATGAAATGAGATCCTGAGGTATGTCTCAGCTGACATAAAGTGACTATGTATTCAGAGTCTTTTGTGTACAGGTCACCTCATCAAAACCTGCATTCAAGAGTTTTGCCTTCTCTAATGGATGGAATTAAGGAGAATCGGAGCTCTGAGTGTATATTCTCTCCTTTGCTCCTGGGGTGGAAGGAAGAAGTAGCAAGATACACCCAAAGAATACCTAAGCAAAGGCTTCACTGCTCATTTGGACAATCTAATCTACAGTTTAAATGCCCCTTCCTTTGTTTTGAATGAAACTCTCTCAACCTAGCTAATCACTGCTGTCCCCAGCAGCTGAGAGGCCTGGATGAAGGAGCAGCAGCAGGGGATCCACCTGCTTGGGTCCCGGTGGGGCGGCCAGAATCTGAACATCAGGGATTGGATTGTGGGCACAGCTTCAATGATACAGCCACAATATGAAAATTCAAGTTTTTCATACCTACAGACCCTAGAGGGTACTGGCATGCATGGAGGGTACACACACACAGACACACACACACATACACACACACATGCACAAACACACATATATACACACTTGCACACACACGCACACTTGCACAGGAGGTCAGGGAGCCCAGGCAGAAAGAGAGAAAATGGACCCGTAGTGGACCCATACCTTATCTTGAGCCCAGGGTGTTGGCCTAATGGGTTTCCCTCAAGCAGCTTTAACTGATGAGTTCAAAGCAAGCAGGCACTAGTTCTAGGAGATCTTGCTGTGATTGACAGGCAGTCACTTTAAGATCTCAGGCAAACATCTGAACTGTCCATTTAAAGGAAGTGGTGGGAAAGAGAGGTTCCCAGTCTTCTAGGCAGGAGAGATGCCTCTAACTTTTATCTATGACCACCAGCCGGAGCCATTCAGGATGGGCCTGGGATTGGAAACTGTGTCAGGGTTGCCTGCGCCCTGCTTTTGGTATGAGAAGATTAAACTCCTATTTAAAAGTGGATGCCAAGGCCACATAAAATTATAAACACTCACTATACTCTTCCTCTCATGTTTATTTCTTCCCTGGGCAGGCTCTCTGGTTCCTACGAAGACTTGCAGTTTGGACAGGTGTCTGAAGCCCTTGTAGACTTCACTGGAGGGGTGACAATGACCATCAACCTGGCAGAAGCCCATGGCAACCTCTGGGACCTCCTCACCAAAGCCACCTGCCACAGAACCCTCATTGGCTGCCAGACCCACTCAGGGGTGAGACTGGTCTGGCCCTGGCAGAACATCCTCTTCTCCTGCACCCATGCTCTCCAGCTACCATCACTGCTGTCCCTGGGTGTGGGCTCAGGACCTCCACCCAGCTCCTATTGCTGAGGTCCTGGTTTTCAAACCAGAACAGCAAGGCCGGGCACAGTGGCTCACACCTGTAATCCCAGCACTTTGGTAGGCCGAGGCAGGCAAATCACCTGAGATCAGGAATTTGAGACCAGACTGGCCACTATGGTGAAACCCTGTCTCTACTAAAAATACAAAAATTAGCTGGGCATGCTGGCAGTCACCTGTAATCCCAGCTATTTGGGAAGCTGAGGCAGGAGAATCACTAAAACCTGGGAGGCGAGGTTGCAATTAGCCAAGATCATACCACTGCACTCTAGCCTGGGCAACAAGAATGAGGGTCTGTTTAAAAACACACACATACAAAAATAACAGAGTAGCAGTACTGACGCATTAGGGCAGGCAAGGCAGTTGGAAAAAGAAGACGATGCGCAGAGCAGGAAGCTAACAATTTTTAAGTGTCAGCTACACACAAGGCACTTTCTCCATCCTATTTGATAACAACCAAAACCATGGAACAGGAACAGGAAGCCCTCAGGTCAGCCCTGTCTTCACTGATGGCCAAGAATGTCACCTCACACATTGACTACGCAACTCTAAACGGAAATTGTCCTCTGTAAAATAGAGAGTATGACATGACCACTGCAGAATGAATCACTTATTGAGAAGGTGGAATTAGACTATGGATACCAAAAAGCTTTGAAAACTGCAATGTACCATACCATGATTCTCTCCCACATTTCTCTCCGTAAACCCCTGCTCCAACCAAGCAGCCCTCCCATGACTCAAGGAATAAGCTGTAGATAGCAGAAGACTGATCAGGACTTCTCTTGTCTCTGCAGAAGGAGAAGGTTCTGGAGAATGGGCTGGTGGACGGCCATGCCTATACTCTCACAGGAATCAGGAAGGTGGGTTGAGGTCAGCCCCTTGGTTTCCCTCTCAGCCTTGCCCTTCCCTCTCTGGGCCCTGGCTCATATTGGTGGATTTAGTTTCTGCACCCTCTGGGGAGTGGTCTTGGTGGGTCTCTGTGCCTCTGTACCTATTTCCTGGGGTAAAGTGGTGGGTACAGCCTTCGCCACTGCCAATGCACCATCCTAACTTCATCCCCCATCAACCATCCTCCCACCTGCTGTATCTCACAACTCTTCCTTGAACTTTACTTCACTCTGGGCTGCCAAGAACAACCATTTTATCTGGTTCTTTCCTCCCAAATTTCTTTTCTCTCACACACTTCTTTATGACAGTCTCCATATGACAGTTTCCATTACTATCCATCTTTTGAGTTCTACTAGGCATTTAGAGGAAGATGCACCAGACAGGACCTGCCTACAAAGGGCTGACACTCAGGTATGGTCACAAACCATATCTGAAAATGAGGAGGAAGCAAAGTTGAAACACAGAAGAAAGTATAGATAAAAGGCTTTAAAAATTCACGGGTGGGAGAAAAGACCTCCACTGAGTTGGGTTAGGGAGAAGTCAGAAAAGTCTTTTAACAGCGGAGGTGACATTGAGTTGGCCCCTGAAACGGGTAGATTTGTGTGGGGTGAGGAGAACATTCTGGTGGAAGGAGCAGTGTAAGTAAAGCATAGAGATAAGAAGTCAGCAGGTTTAAGTTAAAGAACCTCTGGCCGGGCGCAGTGGCTCACGCCTGTAATCCCAGCACTTTGGGAGGCTGAGGTGGGTGGATCACGAGGTCAAGAGATCGAGACCATCCTGGTCAACATGGTGAAACCCCGTCTCTACTAAAGATACAAAAAAATTAGCTGGGCATGGTGGCGCGTGCCTGTAATCCCAGCTACTCAGGAGACTGAGGCAGGAGAACTGCCTGAACCCAGGAGGCGGAGGTCGTGGTGAGCCGAGATCGCGCCATTGCACTCTAGCCTGGGTAACAAGAGCAAAAAACTCCGTCTCAAAAAAGAAAAAAAAAAAAAAAAAAAAGAACCTCTGATATTCTCCAGAGGGTCCGACTCCTCACAAGTCCTCCAGTTTTCCTTAACTCTGTTTCAAATTTCTTGGACTCAATTCACATTTAACATCTTCCTTCTAGATCTCCAACAACTATGTTGGTGTGTGTGCCCAGAGCTTTTAATTGGTTTCCATATTTATTAACAAAATTTACATAGCACTCACTATGTGCTAAATACTGTTTTAACTGCCTTACACATGTGGACTCATTTCATCCTCACAGCACTGCCCTGAATAGGCTGTGAATCCCAAATATCTGAGACAGGTCTCAGTTAATTTAAAAGTTTATTTAGCAAAGGTTGAGGATGTGCACCTGTGACAGCCTCAGGAGGTCCTGACCATATGTGCCCAAGGTGGTTGGAGCACAGCTTGGTTTTATATCTTTTAGAAGACATGAGATATCAATCAACATATGTAGGATGAACATTTGGTTTCATCTGGAAAGGCAGGACAACTCAAAGCAGGCAGGGGGCTTCCAGGTCACTGGTAGATAAGAGACACGTGGTTGCATTCTTTTGAGTTTCTGATTAGCCCCTCCAAAGGAGGCAATCAGATACGGATTTATCTCAGTGAGCAGAGGGGTGCCTTTGACTAGAATGAGAGGCAGGTTTGCCCTAAGCAGTTCCCAGCTTGACTTTTCCATTTAGATTAGTGATTGCCGGGGTGGAGGGGGGTGGGGGGGTTGGGGGGGTAGGGAGTGTCCCAAGATTTACTTTCTTTTCACAAGGTCTATTGGTTTCCTAGGGTTGCCACAACAAATTACCATAAACTGGTGGTGGTGGGTTAGGGGGGTGCTTAAAAACAACAGAAATTAATTTTCTCAGTTCTGAAGGCCTGAAATCTGAAATCAAGGTGTGGGTGGGGCATGCTCCCTCTGAAGGCTCTAAGGAAGAGTCCCTGCTTGCCTCCTCCACCTTCTGGTGGCTCCAGGTGTTCCTTGGCTTGGGCTACATAGCTCAGTCTCTGCCTCTATCTGCACGTGGCCTTCTCTGTGTCCTCTCCCCTTCTCTTCTGACACTTGTCTTTGAATTTAGAGCCCACGAGAATCCATAATGATCTCATCTCCAGGTTCTTAACTTAATTACATTTGCAAAGATCCTTTTTCCAAATAGGGTTGTGTTCACAGGTTCAGAGTGTATGTATCCCGTTTGGGGAGGGTCACAGGTATGACTATATCCACTGCCATACGTATGACTATTGACCTTATTTCACAGATCAGGAAACGGAGACACAGAGAGGTTAGGCAATTTGCCCTAGGTCTCACAGCTTCTAAGAACAAGGAGCAGAGCCACTTTCTCCTTTATCAGCTCTCTCTGGGCCTGCTTTTCCCCTGCAAGTGCTCAGCGGCAGGCCCAAGTCTCACTCAGATCTCTGGAATGCTTGCACTCAGCCCAGCCACCTAAACTGCCTCTCGTTTTATGCAGGTGACCTGCAAACACAGACCTGAGTATCTAGTCAAGCTACGGAACCCCTGGGGAAAAGTGGAATGGAAAGGAGACTGGAGTGACAGGTGAACTTTTGGGGCGAGAATGTGTAGGTGTAGGCAAAGGAGCCTGCCATTTGCACACAAATTCAAATGTGTGCTTCCTTTGGTCTTAGGCGGGATCAGGAAGCTTTCAGACTGGGATGCTCAATCCCTCACATTTATAAGATGCTTTATGGCATATAGACTGCTTTCTCTTTCATTATAATAATTAAAGCTAATGTTTATTTGCGGGCTTGCCAGCACTGTGCTAAACTCTTTGAATTTTTATTATCTCATTTAATCCCCCAAACAACGTTATTACCAAGTAGGTAGTTTTATCCCCATTTTACTAATAGAGAAACTTGGATTAATTGAATTGCCTAAGGTCTTACAGCGTGACTCAACCAAGGTCTTTGGTGCCTGAGTCCAGTGTCTTTCCCTGGCTTGGTTCAGTATACTCCTGGGTTTGCTGAGTCAAAGTAGACAAATTTGGATTGGACTCTACACTCTGATTACATAGAGTAGCCTCTGGACATTCTGATTCGATGCCGGCATTTAGGTTGTTTCTGCCTAATGGTAGCCCTAAAGAAATGTGGGTTTTGCAGGCTAAACACTGGCTGTAGGGCACAGGCAGAAAGGGAGGTCAAGTCTTAAAGTCCTTCCTTATGTTATTATGAAGATTTATAGTACTTAATCCTGTGCATGTCTTTTGAGTACACAAGCATATTCATATACACATGATCACATAATCATTTTTACAGTGAAAAAATGAAGGCTTAGACAAGTTGAATTTTCCTCCTGATGGAATGTGCTGCATTATATTTGTTACACATTAGCAAACAGAGTTGTTAGAGGAGCTTGGTCCATGTGGGAAAACGTCCTTCCAAAAAATACATAAATTTTAAAGTGTTACGGAAATCTAGCATCATGTTGCTGGTGGCGGTTTCTTTCACAGGGGAACAAGCAGTAACATTAGAGATAGATGATGGGTAAAATTGCACTGCTGTTACTTCCTAGCTGTGTGATCTTAGTTTAGGCAAGCTTCTTAATTTATTGGATCCAGAGGTATAGTGAATATTAAAATCATGCGCTTTTATTTTGCAGTGTTTAATCTGCTGTTAATCCCATTCAGTATATTTTTCATTTTAAATATTATATTTTCAATTCTAGAAATTCCACTTGAGATTATCTTTCATTTCTCCCCTCATTATGTCCATGTTTCTCTTTACATCCTTGAGAATATGGGGCATTTTTATGACAGCTGTTTCAATGTCCGTATCTGCTAATTCCATCATCTCTCGCATTTCTATGTCAGTTTCTATGGACTGTTTTTTTATTCCTGGTCACGGATCATATTTTCTACTTCGTCATATGGCTAATAAGTTATTGCATGCTGGACATTGTAAATTTTAGTTTCATAGTGCTGAATTTTATTGTATTTCTTTAAAGAGTATTGGACCTTTTTTAAAGTAAGTAGTTACATTGCTTAGGGATTTTGATACTTCGACGTTTTTAAGCACTTTTAGGGAAAGTCAAAACAAACTTTATTTCAGAGATAATTTGAATCCACTACTAAATTGTAGACCCTCTGGGATCTCTAGTAAAGATTCCATATATTCAACAAAGTCTTTTGGCTGGGCACAGTGGCTCATGCCTGTAATCGCAGCACTCTGGGAGGCAGAGGAGGGTAGATCATTTGAGGTCAGGAGTTCAATACCAGCCTGACCAACATGGTGAAACCACATCTGTACCACTAATACAGAAATTAGCCAGATGTGGTGGCATATGCCTGTAATCCCAATTGTTTGGGAGGCTGAGGCAGGAGAATTTCTTGAACCTGGGAGGCAGAGGTTGCAGTAAGCCGAGATCACACCACTGTACTCTAGCCTACATGGCAGAGTTAGACTCTGTCTCAAAATAAGTAAATAAGTAAATAAAGTCTTTTAACTCTGTCTCATGGGAATGCATGAGATTCCCAGCACTATGTCCTGCTTACAGTCCAATCTTGGGGAGTTTCACTTTAAGAAAGCACAGACTAAATCTCAGCCAAAGACACAAGGGAACCCCTCTGAAGTTCCTGGAACTCCTTTTTTATGAGGCCCCTCCTCTCAGGTGCTTTGCCCAGCAAATTCTCTCTGTCTTCATCTCCCCGAATTCCAGATTCTGTCTCCTCCATTCAGCCAGACCTATATGTTCTTTTTTGAGTCCCTCTCCCTGTAGCAGTGGCCAGGAAATTACTTTCAGGAAGAAAGCCTAGGTGATGCTAGGGCTCACTTCATTTGTTTCCAACCTCCTGGGATCACAGACCCATGTTACCTGCTGTCCAGTATCTGAAAACAGCTTCTTCTGTTTTGTCGCATTTTTATTTCTTGATGGTAGGAGGCTGTCAGGACAGTCTTACTCCTTCATGGCCAGAAGTAGAAGTTCAAATGATGACCTTTGAAAAGATGCAGGTTCAAATGTTACCTCTGACATTTAATGGATGTATGATTTCAGCAAATAACTCAATCTCTCTTAAATCAGTTATCTAATCTCTAAAATGAGAACAACGAAGTTGTTGTTAGCCTTCAATGAAATAATGTATGTCAAGAACCTAGCCCAGTGCTTAGCTCATGGTAAGCTATCAATGAAAGCTACATGCTACTGTGTAATACAGAATGGGAAATTCAGTTGTCTGAAGCAGTATGAAAATAATAATAAATAATGACACTACAGAGCCTTTACTAAAGAATTTCTAGCATGTCCCCCACAAGCTTTTCATTCCCTTTTCTATTTTCAGTTCAAGTAAATGGGAGCTGCTGAGCCCCAAGGAGAAGATTCTGCTTCTGAGGAAAGACAATGATGGAGAATTCTGGTATTGGACTTGGAGACTTGGACAAATGTCCTGGCCTATATTTGAAAACCCATCCAGCAGACATTTATTGGATGGGTTCCAGGAACCTCATGTACAGAGATCAATAAGGCACCATCCCATTAGGTACTCACGGTCTAGCAGAACAAACAGCCCCTATAAATATATGGTCAGTCTCTGTGATGAGAGTAGAGGCCACTAGCGTGGAGCTCAGGGAGGGCTCGGCCAGGCTGTTTCCTCCTCTCTGTCTTCCCCTCTGCTCTCTTGCTCAATATATTCAAAAAAGGTTTTGCCTTTTTTGTCCTGAAAAGGCCTTGAGGTAGGAAGAGACTGCAAAGTCTTGCCATAGTGTAGGCTCCCTGACCAGTGCCCTCCAGAGCAGAGTAACACTTCCACTCCAGAACTGCTCACTTCATTTTTAAAAAATGTACTTTAAGTTCTGGGGTACACGTGCAGAACATGCAGGTTTGTTACGTAGGTATACACATGCCATGGTGGTTGGCTGCATCCACCACCCTGCCATCTACATTAGGTATTTCTCCTCATGCTATACTTCCCCTATCCCCCTACTCCCTGGCAGGCCCTGGAATGTGATGTTCCCCTCCCTGTGTCCATGTCTTCCCATTGCTCAGCTCTCACTTGTGAGTGAGAATATGCGGTCACCTCATTTTTTGAAAGGCCATCAAGACATTCTGAGATGATGCTGCTTCTAGGTGTTTGACAGGGGCCCCATCTGTTCCCCTTTGCTTTTGTTTGCCACTGTTACTATTAATGTCAACCCTTGTTCCAAGGACTCCTCCCATTAACCATCTAGTTCAGCCTGCTGCAGCCCTCTCCCTTTGGAAGCTCTTTCACCGAACTGAAGCCCTGCAAATTCCTGTTGTTTCCACTTTTTGGTTAAGTAAACTGAGCCAGTTTAAACAGAATGTTATAGGCCATGAGTTAGCAAGTAGGGGCAAATATCTTCATTAATTAATGATTAAGAACTGATATGCAGTTCTTACTGAACATTTACAGATAAAACAAAAGCTGCTGTCACCGTGATTCCAGAAACAGGAACATCTCCCCCAATCAGCCATGTGGCCAGCTGCTTCCAGCCAGAGGGTGGGGCTTCTCAGCAGCTCCGACTCCCCACAACGGACCCTCACAGGGATCTAGCCAGCCCCAGCTCATGTACTGATGGCCAGCTCAGCTCTGCACTAGAGCTGGTGTCTTTGTCCACGAGAGGGCTGGGATGCCCACTGCTTTGTCTCACCCGCCCCATCAGTCCTGATAACTAGGTGTTATCTGGTCCATCTCTTTGTGCTGTTCCTTTTTCCTCTCCGCAGGATGACACTGCAGGACTTTAAAGCACATTTTGTGCTCCTGGTCATCTGCAAACTGACCCCAGGCCTGTTGACCGAGGAGGCGGCCCGGAAGTGGACGTACACCATGCGGGAGGGGAGATGGGAGAAGGGCAGTACAGCTGGTGGCCGGAGGCAGTTGCTGCAGGGTGAGCGCATGCGCAGGAACAGGGCTCTTGGGGTGATGCTGTGGGCGGGGGTGTGGGAGTGACTACACGTGGGAGTGTAGCACGTTCTGCACTAGCCGAGAGGAGAGGAGGCTCGGCTTGTCTCACGATGTGCTGGGGCCCTGGACTATGACCACAGGGAGGACGGGGCCCCTGCGGTACCAATGTACACCACAACCGAGTCCTGTCAGTCAAGCCGTCAGCCTGTGGGGCTGTATCTTCCCAGAGGGTTGCCCTGTCCTCGTGACCACCGGGGGTCACAGGCACACAGGCATGGGAAAAGCAGGATCAAGGGAGAATCTTTCTTCAGTTTTAGAGAAGGCCACTGAAAACACTGAGGTAACCACCCACTAACTGGGCAGGATGGAAATGGAAATTGTATCAGGTCCTGCCCACCTGGAGCTTGGGAGGAACCCAAACCCTGGGCTTCCCAGGCTCTCTAGACAGGGGAGACAAACTTGTCTGAACTCGCAAGACGGGACAGGTTTGGTGGCTGTGTCCCTTCCTCCACTTTGGAGATAGTGAGCCATCCCCTTTGAAGGCAAGGCCTGTGGGGTGTGACCTCAATGGGCCAGGGTGGCCTTAGCTCTGGAGTCCCCCTTTTGACAGTATTTCCCCAAAAGTCTGAAGCAGAACTTAAGCTAAGGTTTTTGCCTCTAGTAAATGCAAAGGTCCCTGAGATCATGGTCACCTCCCCTGAGAGTTAAGACCATTGCTAACTCACATAGCACATGCTTGTGGGGTAGATAAAATACATATCCTGATGATGTATTTTGCATCCGGGCCAGGCACTGAGCAAGACAAAGAGGCTACAGTGGTGTGAACAACTCCAGTTCAGTGTGTCTGGAGAAGGCTCCGGGTGGAAGAGCAAGAGGGGAGGGCACAGAGCCAAGGTTGAAGGGACCCCAACTCTGTCCTGATGGGACTCAGTGTGTCAATCCTGGCAGAGCTGTCCTCAGACTGTTCACCTCTTAGTAGTTTGGCGAGCAGGATGCTTGGGGATTGGGGTCCATTCTCACCTTGCTGTGTTCTGCCCCAGACACATTTTGGAAGAACCCGCAGTTCCTGCTGTCTGTCTGGAGGCCCGAAGAGGGCAGGAGATCCCTGAGGCCCTGCAGTGTGCTGGTGTCCCTGCTCCAGAAGCCCAGGCACAGGCGCCGCAACCAGAAGCCTTACCTCGCCATTGGCTTCTACCTCTATAGGGTAGGTAGACCTCTGAACCACAGGGCATGTGACCAAGCATGGGGTCGCCAGCAGTGACCATGTCTTCCTGTTTCTTGTCCTCTTTACCATCTGTCTCTGTTCACAGACCTGGGTTTCCAAAGGCAGGCACTGTCGTTTAGGAACATGTGATTTGGGACAAGTCACCTTCTTGCACTAGGCCATCAGTTTCTTCATCTGTAAAATGGGGACATTGATGTTTAGGCAAAAGGTGGGATAAAAGAGGATTATGTGGTAGTGCTTGTTATTGTGCCTGGCACACAGTTAGTACAATCAACATTGACTTCCTTTTCCTCTCCCCAGAAGCCAACCTTTCTTTCCCTTCCTCTTTTCCAGAATTTCTGATGATGGATTAAAATGTCACTGATAGAACAGCAGGTCTTGTGGGAGGAGACAGGGCTTCTGGGTGGAGCCTTGCGTATCAGCTTCTCTTCAGGTTTTGGCTTATGAAAGAGCCAGATTCCCTGCCTAATGAGATCTCTCTTTTTTTGTTTTCCAGATGAACACGGTGAGTTCTGCCCTTGACCAGGTGGCCCTAGTTTGGGGTGAAATCACATGTGGCCAAGCCTCCATGGGCTTCAGTTAGACTGGAGCAGGCTTATACTGCGTAAGAAGCTATGATAATGTCTGATGATGAGAATGTCTGCCAACTGCCTGTGCCTATGTGAAAGTAAAGTGCATCTGCTAATCTCTTTATCCAAAGACCCCCAAGAGATCCTCATGCATCTGTAGGGAGGTCTCAGAGCCTAGCATGAAACCAATAAATTGTAAAATGTATTAAATTCCTACGCGAATACCTAGGGCTAATATTGAAGGCCATCACAGCATAGGAAAGACGATCAATTACAATCTTGACTGGGTAATGAAACCCAAAGTAAAATGGACTTAAAACATATGGGACAGAGACTGTGCAGCCCACCTCCCCAGGGAGAAGGGACAAAGGCTTGAGGACATGTGGCAGGAGCATGGGCAGAGGGACAAGAACATGTCTGGCTTCAGTTGCTTTGGCACCTTGGAGGGGTCAGGTAGGAAGGCCCAAGGAATCCCATCCTCTGAAGGAGGCAGCTATTGTTTTATTTCCCAAAGAAAACAGGCGTAAAAACTTAATTTTCTCAGGTTTGATTGAATCAAGTAAAAGTGCTGTTATAAAGAAATCATTTTATGCTGGGTCTCTTTTTGTTATTTTCCTCACAGGAATACTGACCACTCTCAAATTTGCCTATTAATTTAAAAAGAAAAAGTTATTGATGTCATGCCTACTTCTAAACAGAATTTGAGTCAACCTACAATAAACAAGTATAAACAGGAAACCCACAAATCAGTTACAAAATTTAAATGCCAAGGAAAAAATGACAAAGAGATGAGGGCTAGGTAGACAGTTGCTTCTACCAGGAAAACGAAACCTAGCACAGCTACTATGGATCATTATACAATTTATTTCTGAGATTCCTAGTAACTCATGGCAAAGAGGGCAATTGGGTAATTTCCTAGTTCTCATTGTCTTATGAAAGAATGCCTACATCATAAGGATATGTATTTTATTTCCAAAGTACGGAGGAATTTGCTAAATATCTGTTTATGCAAATGAGTGGTGTCTTGGTTAGCAGTTGTGTATAAACCAGAAAGAGGATCCTGGTGTGAGTCTCCTCTCACTCTACAGCCCTGAGCAAGAACAAAGGGATGAGGAAGGAAGAGAGAAAAATAGGGAGAGATGGAGAAACAAAGGAGGCAGAGAGACAGAGAGAGAAAGAGAATATGAATCAGATAAAACAAAAAAGATACCCAAGAAATATCAGAATTAGAGCTCTGATTCGGGTCTTCTGAGCTCTTGCCCAGTTCTCTTTGTCCTTTACAAGGGTGTTTTCCCTAAGTGACATGGAATTTTATCTGTGTACAGCTGTGAGGTGTAGTTGGGAGGTGGTGGTGGTCCATCTGTATCTGTGACCATCAGTCGCGCCACATCACATACATGGAGGCAGCATCAGACAGTATAAAGAACATGAGCATGGAGCTCTGCTGTCCTGAATTCCCATCTGGCTGGGACTGCAACCAGCTGATGACTCTGGGCAGATGATCTAACCTGTCTAAGCCTCAGAGCCCTTACCGTAAAATGGAAACTACAGGCACAAGGACATATTTCCCATCATTTTGTGCTGGTTTTGTTTTTAAGGTAAGTCGAATCAAATGACACGTGTTTATGTAGCCCCTGATAGGTTCTAGCAGAGGTGCAGCCCTCCACACACATATTCTGGTTTTTGCCTCTCCTCCTCTCTTGTTTCATCCTTCACTAGGGAACATTGGATTTGGCAGATCGGGGCCACCTTAGTCCTGGCTCAGAGCTGAGGGCCTCAGACCTGGCCACAGCCCTGGGTCATCACCTTCCCTGGTGTTCTTCTGTCTTCTACCCACAGTACCATGATGGCCAGAGGAGACTGCCCCCCAAGTTCTTCCAGAGCAATGCTCCCCTGAGCCAGCCTGATAAGTTTCTCAGGGAGAAAGAAGTGAGTCAGGAGCTGTGTCTGGATCCAGGGACATACGTCATCCTGCCTTGCACCTTGGAGGCTCACCAGAAGTCAGAGTTCATCCTCAGGGTCTTCTCCAGGAAGCACATCTTTTAGTAAGGACACAAGGCCTCTCCTAGAGGTTGGGGACCGCTTGGGCTAGGGCAGGCAAGGAGGGCAAGGTTGGAAATGGCAGAGACCAGGGTTTCTGCTGCTGAGACAGAAGAGATACGGGAAGAGCAGGAGACCAGGTTACTTTCTGCGTGAAGGACATCCCTCCCCTTCCTTCCCGGCCTCCTTCCACTCACAAGCTAACACTGTGCTAGACATTAGAGAGAAAAAGGTAAAGTACACATGGCCGCTGCCCTTTGAACTTCCAGAAGTTCCAAGTTTGGAAAGGACACAGATACATAAGCAGTTATTGATCTTCCAGTGCATCCAGTATACTCATTTTATATGCACAGTGTGTTAGAAGAGTCTCAAAGAGGAGAATCTGAGCCAACTCCCATGGTCCTGGGGGAAGCAGGAGTGGCTTCAGGGAGGAGGTGACTATTAAAAGATGTGTAAGGGTTGTTCGGATGAAGGGAGGCTGCCATAAACTAGCAGGCTTCCATTCTGCTAGACGGCAGACATTACCCGGTGTATCCTAATAATCCCTGGGCTTTGCTGTTTTTGCACCAACAAAGAGTAGAGAACTACCCACTGGTCAAGTCCTTGTCACTGAGAGTCCAGAGTGCTAGCTATGTGAGTTACATCTCTCCTTTCTTCTGCTTCTCTTTAGCTGGTGTTTCTTATGTCCATTTCACTGTTTGTGACTTCCCCAAAGTCAGGGAAAATTAGAGAAGCAAGGGCTGTTTGTAAATGCTATGGTATAAAATTAAAGACAATGCAAAGTTAAGCTCATGGATTTCAGAAGCCTGGAAGCCATGAGACATTAGGGTATACACAAAAGTCCATTTATACAGGTGAATAATTATGTCTTTCTACGTGTCTCTTCCTGTAGGAGATAGAAGATCAAAATGAAGGGCAGAATGAATGCTTCACCAAATTCTTTGAAAAGGTGAGTTGAACAGGTGCAGTGGGGGAGGATGGGGAAGAACCGAAAACAAAGTGGAGCATATCATTTCATCAAAGCATAAGTTTGTATCTGCTTGAGGCTGCATAGAAACTGTGTTTTAAGGCTACCTATTCCCCTGAGTGCCACTTTCTATTAAAGTTCTCAAGCTTTTAGACAAATGAGTAGAGCCATTGCCCTAGAAGTCTCCTGTAAAATGATTATCTGTTCTTGGAAGCTGTGTTGATTAGTTGAAGGAAAGCAACTTTAATCTTTCATCGTGAGCAAATGGGATGTAGCAGAGTAGAGAGTCAGAGTTGGGAGTCAGACAGGGGTGGTGGGGTGAGGGGAGGAGAGCATGACAATGACAAATCCTGGGGACTTTAGGGAGAACCACTGGAGGGGAGCCCAGGGAGAAGGGGCCCTTGAGTGGTCACCTCGAGAGGGGATGAGTCTGATAAGAAAGGGAGAGCCTGGGGCACACACTTAGTCCCTGTGGCTTCTTCTCTTGGGCTGACCCAGATTTGAGTCTAGCAAGGGCTAATGGTGTGAGTGCAGGGCTCTGGAAGTCATATTCTTCTTAACCTACAAGACACTTATGAAGAAGATGAGAAACATACTAAATATCTGGGGTCTGATATTTGGAGCAATGTCACTAAAATAGAGAACCTGAGCCCCTTGTGTTAGTGACATTCCTGATTTGATGTCACAACTTACCTGCCTTGCCCATCTGGAATTTTGTTTAATGTAGCTGGAGAGGATAAATCAGAATCTTACATGTATTGTTTATAAAAGTTTTCCTCCATACCAGTGGTTTCCAAACATTTGATGCTGCAATCCTTTTATCAAATGAAGTCTCATAGATAATCCCAATATATATAAAACAATTAAAAATAGCATATTATGAATATGCATCAGTTTTTAAAAAATCAAATGTTTGATGCTTATATTTCATTGGTATATTTTAAAGTCAAATGTTCATATAAAGAGTTTCTTTTAGTAAACTCAAAGGTTAAAATCTAGAGTTTTGACTAATGACATTTTATTAAGAATGAAATTCAAACCAAATTGTTGGCTAAACTTCAGAAGCACCTGTATAGCACCTTCAAGAATCACTGTTCTCTAGAAGCCTGCTTAAAAGTCCTGCTCTGCCAGGGTTCTCTGGACTTGGTACCCAGTTAAAAAGCGTCATGAAGTACTTAGAAAATCCCAGTTTAATTTTATGTCCAGTCATAAGTCCCCTCTGCCATCTAATGAGCCTTCAGTAACAATTTTTTTTTCTTGCCAATCTGCTTTCTATTCAGTATACAGAAATTAATGCAGTTCAGCTGCAGAACATCCTGAACCACATGACCTGGTCAAGTAAGTGTTTGAGAGCCATCCTGTACTCAGAGGAGACACAACTTTTCTAAACTCTGGCTTAGTTTCTCTTTCCTTTGGTGGAATGTGTGAATTACCGAATGCTGGTCTCAACCAATGGCTCTATTTTACACGAGGGTGGATTATGTGATGCAAAAAAGCAGTAGAGAAATTTATTCAGCTTTGAAAACCATTATCATTATTATTATTTTGCTTACTTTGGATATAGAGATATATGGCAGTGAAAATGAAGATTTCTGCCATTTTGCTAGTCAGAAAGAAATAACTGAGTATCTCTTTCTTGGAATATCAATTTCATGTGGAAGAATTGCACCCATTTCCTCAACTTGGGATACAAATATTAAGTATTAACTAGCCTACCTAGGGAACTCTCTGATGAACTCATGTTAAATTGATCAAGCTACAAAAATCTGGAGGGAGACAGCATACCACCTAGAAGAATTGCAAATGGGTAGCATGGATGCTTTCATACAAAGCCTGGGATCAATTATTAGAAAAGCTTAACATTCATATAAAATATTTTATACATATATTTGGAGTGAGAAGTCATGAAAGAAATAGGCTGATTTCTCCAGGGAGAAAAATGAACTTCAAAATAAAAAAAGTAAAAAAACAACCAGAGTATTTGCTACAGAAGTTAGATGATTGCTTCTCCTTTATATGAAGCCAAGATTTCAAACCCAGGAAAATTAGAATCCAGACTATTGTGTGATTCAGGCTTTGAAAGAATTTGCAGAAAGCTTCTCAAAGCCAAATTCAGTTATCAGTAAAACATCCAGAAGGGAAGACTGTAGGAATTGTAGAACTTTAGAACTTTTCCTCCCCACTGAAAAAATATTCTAGGCTGATTCTAGGGAAATTGCCTAGAAACAATGGCTTGTACACATTTAAAAGTTTTTAAAGGTCTTGATTGCATATATACAAAATGGTTTTCTGAAATATTTATGAACAAATTGCTTTCATTTAGTCCTATAAGAAGGTTCTAGATGAATAGATCAGAGAAATGCTAGATTTTCGCAAAATATTTGGTGAGTCTCCCATGATAAATAATAAAATTTGGGTTGGAAAATAATAAAAGTAAATGTATTCACAAGAAATCTTATCACCATTCCCAAGAGTTATACAAATATAAAACTAGAGGGATAATTCTATCCAGTTACAGGCAAGAGTCTATATGCTTAGATGTTTAGATACGAATTCTTAGATTCTGTCTGCTATTGGTCCTGTTCATTTCCCCAATTTTTATTAATGTCTTGGAAGAAGACATGGAATATAGGCTTATTGGAGCTGCAGATGGCACAAAGCTGGAAGAAATCATTAATATAATAGATAGCAGAATTGAAATTCAGAATGTTTTCAACAAGCTGTGCCCAAACCAAAAAGATGAAATGTAGTCAGGAAGATAATAAACCATTTTGATATATACCATTTTTAAAATGGTAGCACAAGTTCTTAACAGAAGAGACCTCATTTTTGTGGCAGTTTATGTGAAAGATATTTGGTTAATTTAGTTGACATCTAGCTAACATGAACTGATAGTTTTGAGCTGCTGCTAAATAAGCTTATACACATTCAGGCTGCATTTAATGGGAACATTTAGATGTATGTTTTTAAAATTGTGTTCCAGGAAACATTGGAAACCAAGAGGTTTAGTAAGTGTTCCGTGAAATAAAACGGGTTAGTTTCTGTGGTCAATTGTACTTGAGTCTTCAGTACTTCACACACAGTAGAGGGCATGGTGAATGAAGAAAAGCATTAATAGATGCAAAGTATCCCACATTTCTTTGACTACAGAACTCTTTGTCTGCAGAAAATCTCCTTTGAAACATAATTTGGGAAATGCTGACTGAAAACTGGAGGCGATAAGTCCACTGTGTTCTATTCAATCAAATTACATCTGGAGGACTGTTTTCAGATCTTGGTACCATATTTTGAAGAGATACTGGCAAAATGTAGGGCTCAGAAAAGGACGTTGAGGGTTTAGAAATCATCGCATCTGAGGAGTAGTTTGAGAAATATTTAGATTTTAAAAGGTAAAGCAGAAGTCAAAGAAAAGACAAATATCATTTTGTGGTGTTCTGAAGGTGAAACTAGGGCCAGTGAGCCAATATTATAGGAGGCTCCTTTGGACTTAACGGAAGAAGTTTCTCCTGACTGTAGCTCTTCATCCATGTGAAAAAGTGAGCACCCGTAACTGACGAGACCATCTGTCAAGAAACCTGAGGAGAGATGGTGTCGTGGCTCACACCTGTAATCCCAGCACTTTGTGAGGCCGAGGTGGGCAGATCACTCGAGGTCAGGGGTCTGAGACCAGCCTGGCCAACATAGTGAAACCCTGTCTTTACCAAAAATATAAAAAATTAGCCAGGTGTGGTGGTGTGCTTCTGTAATCCCAGCTACTCAGGAGACTGAGGCAGAAGAATTACTTCAACCCGGGAGGTGGAGGTGGCAGTGAGCCAAGAACATGCCATTCCAGCCTGGGTGACAGAGCGAGACTCCATCTCAAAAAAAAAAAAAAAAAAAAAAAAAAAAAAAAAAAAAAAAGAAAAAAGAAAGAAACCCGAGGAAAGAATCCCCCAATTTGGGTGGGACCTTGAACAAGTTGACCTCTCGGATCCTGGCCCTCCCTAGGTACAAAAGGCATGCTCATCTGGTCCTCTGTGTAGGCAAAGCCAAGCCATGCCAGGTGTCCCTATAGCATTTGACTTGCTCCATGGATGTAGGTTATTCATGATGGTTATTCATCACCCGCCATGCTCTGTCTACTACCTTCCATTCTCACTTTGCCCAGTCCATATACATGGTGGTCATCAGAGCCTACAGCTGGTCCACCCAGCAAGCACTGCCTCTTCCTGCGCAGAAAAGGGATTTGCAGACCTGGGGCCAGCCCCCATGTGGCCTCTTCCTCCTCCTTTACAGGTCCGGGGAGCACACCGCCCCTCTTCAGCCTGGAAGCCTGCCAGGGGATCCTGGCATTACTGGACGTACCTTTTCAGGTTTGTGGGTGGATGGGTGCTTTTGGTTGAGAGCTTTGCTCTGGAGCTAGGAAGAGTGGATTTGAATCCCATCCCCAGCCCTTGCCAGTTGTGGATCCTGGACAAGTTGGCTGAGCCTCATTATGCCTCCAGGTGTTCATCTGGAGCATGGAGAGAGTGTTGAAACTTACTTGGTAGGGTTAATGTGGGAATGCAAATGGGACAGTACAGATAAAATTTGGGAACAGAGTTATCATCTAATAGGTGACCAATATCAGCCATCCATCACAGTAATCTCATTTCCTGGGAATGAGGATGAAGCAGCTATAAAGTGGTGGTTAGTAACAGCTCTCCAGGTTTACAAGAGCCTTTCCAAAGCCTTAGGGCCATATGTTTTCCATTTAATAACTGGGTGGTGGCTGCACCCGTGCACAGACCAGGAAACCAGGGCTCCGGGAAGTTAAACAACACGCCATGAACTCAGCTGTCCTGTTTCTCAACCCTGCAATATTTCTAGCGAACGCACTGCCTTTCTAAGTGGATAATTGTAGTCAAAGTTTGATAATCCATACCATGGAGAGACATATTGAATAGATAGCCTAAGGAAGGTTGTAAAAACAAAAACAGTCTGCAGAAACTCAGAGACACTGCGGGGTTAGGTGTACAGGTACAGTCATGGGGCAGGTCCCAGCCCTGTAACCAGCTGTTTGAACTTGAACAAGATCAGACCTTCTCCAAGTGCTCATTTCATCAGCTAGAACATGGGGGAGTTAATGCCTACCTCACCTACTACAGGTGAAGTGTGTAACTCAGTGACAGATTCATGGTGAGGGCTCAAACAGAGATGGGGTATGGTGGTACTTTGACCCAATGTCTCTGATGCTAGGGGTATCTGGGCATGGTCTACAAGGGCAACCATTAAACTTAAAACATGTAAAAGGCATCCTTAGCCACCCTGTGCCTGACTCCTTCCATAAGCTGTTCTTTAAAAATAATAATGAAAAAAGTTACTATTTTTTAATTTAAATCACATCAAATTGGCCGTGTCAAAATATCCTGCCTCACTTAATGCTAGCTGTGGTCATCACTATCATCACCTCCATCATCACTGCTTCTCCCAGTACTGCTGTACTCTGGCTTATGCTGCTTTTCCCTAGCAAGGGTGGAAGGAGCCCTGGGCGATCTGGCCAGTGAGGTAAGGCCAACTGGTGAAATCAGACATGATCAGATATTGAATGAGGCCATCCACAAATTGCCAATTGCTTTGTGGAGGGCGGATCACTGCCTCCAAAGCATGGACATAACTCTCCCTGGCAGCTTTTATCTTAACCCATTCATCAGCTTAATGCCTCGGGTACTATGAGCATCCAGGAATTCAGGGACCTTTGGAAGCAGCTGAAGCTCTATCAGGTAAGAACAAATCTAACTACTGCTCTTTGGAAGATGGTGTAGAAATGGCAATTCTGCAAAGCTATACGAGACACTTCTTTCCCCTGCAGCCCTTTATATCCAACTCGCCAAACCTTCTCCACGCTCCCATACATGAGCATTTCTTCCATCGGTCTCTTCCAAACTCAGAGAGCCGGTTGCAGTAGTCTCCTGAAGTTCCAAAACACACATCTGATCATGCTGCTTTCTTTCAAAACACTTTTTAAGACTCCCCATGGGCTTCAGAGAAAGACCAAACTCCTTGGCACTCTTGGCATTGAAAGTCTTTCACAAAATTGCTCCTTCTTGCTCTTCCAATCATTGCTTACAACTCACAACTCTCCCACTTGCCTCCTGAGTCAGAAAGCTGGAATCACTTTAGAGTGTGGATAATGTGCTTATGTTAAGCACATTTACCCACACCCAGACTGTCTATACCCCATGAGAAAAAACTTTTCTCTTTCTCAGAAGCCTTGTGCTGTAGGAAACATGAGGTGGTGGGATCCTGGCATGGACTCTGCCATATTCTTATCCTAGCAGCAGGCCCTGCATGTGGAGCCTCAGATATCTTCAACAGCCCCTCTGCGGTACTGACGGGGCACACAGGGGCTCTCAGATGGTGCTTGGAAATGCCTGGCTTCCCGAACCTCTCATTTGATTCTTTGCAGAAGATTTTCTACAAGCGAGACAATGGGTCAGGATACCTGAGCTGGGCACAGCTGCAGGTTGCCATGAGGGAGGCAGGTAGGCACAGGAAAAGCTGGAGCTGTGGGCACACATGGGCAGGGTGCACACTCACCAGGCAGGGGAGGGGGATGCGTGGCATGCTGCAGTAACTAGAATGAACAGTGTGGCTCTCAAAGACGTAGCTCTGCAATCAACACAAACACTTTTTATGACTGTCACTGTGATCAGAGCCAACATTGATGGACAGTTCACACATTCAACTTCTCATTTAATCTTCAACACCACTTTGTTATAATCCTCACTTCACAAAGGAAGAAATTGAAGCTAGTTGCCTGGGGTTTAAATCCAGGACTACCAGGCTCCAGAGCAGGTCCTTTTGAGCACTTAGCAGATTGCCTCCTTCCTTGAAGTCCACTCACATACTTGATGAAAAGAGCCCCATGCTGATTGCCTTAATACGCAGCAGTGAGGAATAGGGATTAAATAAAATAAATTGGTTAAACAATTAAACAATTCAAAATGAACCCTATAAAAGAAGATTTCCATGCTATCAGGATTCAGGTCCCTAAAGTGGAGGGTCAATTGAAGGGGCCTTGGGCAGGAGGGGAGCTGGGTGCAAGCTCCCAGCACCCACAGCAGGAACCTGTGCTCAATGCAGGAACTGTGCTCAGTGATGACGTCTGTCAGCTGATGCTCATCCGCTATGGTGGCCCCAGCCTCCAGATGGACTTTGTCAGCTTTGTCCACTTGATGCTGCGTGTAGAGAACATGGAGGGTGAGCTGGCGGGAAGTTGGGGAGGTCCAGGGCTTCCTCTGCTGCCCCATGACTTCCCACCTGTCTCTATTTTAAGCACAAGAGAGGACAGTTGCCATCCCAGAAACAGCAGACCAGGGAAGCTATCGGGAACTCTAGCCAAGTGCCTGTGTGTGAGGCCTGGCTGCAGATACCCAGACTCATTTGTTCCCTGCCTTATTCCAGAGGCAAAGGTTTGAAGTGGCTCACTTATAGGTGTGGCTGCCTGTGGTCACATATAGTCTGACATTGGGTTCCCTCATGTTTTCTGAATGGATGTGGTTAAGATGAGATACATGGGAGAAACTAATTCATAATGTTTCCAATATACACATTAGCTGTGCTCCTTTTCTGCTGCGTTTTCACAGATGTCTTCCAAAACTTAACCCAAGATGGCAAAGGGATATACCTCCAGAAGTCAGAGGTAAGTCTTGCCCCAAGGAAGTGGCTCATGTCATCTTAGGTAGAGGTGGCCCTTGCAGGACCATGCTCTTGTGAAGAGAAGAGCTCTGGGGACCCTTTATTCTGCTGAATTTGAAATAGAGCACTACATTCATTGCGCTCATTCATTCATTCATCCATCAGATGTTTTCTGAGCACCCACTTTGTGGCAGGCACATATGAAAGGATTGGGAGACTAACTTAGTGTATCCAGTAACTCTGATTGCAATAATGCCATGTGACAAATTACACAACTTCAGCAGCATATGTATGACACGTACTTACTTAGCTTCCAAGTCACATGGCTGGTTGTCAGTGGATTTCACCTGGCTTGCTCATGCATCTGTGGGTTGGCTGAGGGCTTTGCTGGGTACCTGAATTGAGGAAACCCTGCCTAGGTTTGTTCTTCTCAGGGAAATAGGAGACACATAAGAAAGAGAGCTTAAACATGCAAGGCCTCTGAAACCAAGGCTTCAGTCTGGCACACCTGCAAGTCATTCTGTTGTCCAAAGCAATCACATGGCCAAGCCGGTTTCCTCCTTTCATATCACTTTGCAGGAATAGCAGGATGTGGACACAGATGGGTGAGGACCTGGGTCCAAAAAAGAGCTGTAGCTCTTTGTGCTGTACTGTAGATAGTAATGGGAGAACTAGTCTAGATGGGGTTCTACCAAGGACTTTCTGGAGAAGGTGACATTGAAATTGAAGCCTCAAAGACAAGCTGGTAGAGAGTAGTAAAGGTCTGGGCTAGATGGAACAGTGTACGCAATCCAGGCTAGCACACAGAGAATGAGGAGAAATGGCTCAAGATGAGTCTCAGGAGATCAGGGTCAGATTAGGCAGGATGTACAGGCCACAAATAAACCTCACTGAAGGGCTGGCGTAGCCTTCCCCATATGTGCAGCGTCTTGTTTTATATTTAATCTTGTTTTTGTGATGTCTTCCGAGATCTCATACAGTTTGTTAAGTGAATGAGGTGATATGCCTAGGAGAAGACAAATTCATGTATAAAACTGATTATCTTCCCTCATCATTCAAAATGCACTGATATACTGAGCAGATGCTAGGTGCCAGGTGTGGCGCTAGGTAATGTTCATTTCAAGGACATTAGAGTCTGGAGTTCAATCCTCTGCTCTTTTTTACTGCAACCCTTCCTCTGGTTAGGGCGCTTAGAAATGATTCAGTAAAAGCTGGAATGTCTTTTTTAATCTCAAATGTCCATTTTATGGAATTACTTTCCAAGCTTTTGGGACCTGCAGTTTGTGTCACCCCTCAATCCCTCCAAGATTCGGTGTGCAGTGGGTGTGAAGTGGGATTCTACTGGAGGGCCAATGGCCAGAATTATCTGAGCCCATCCCCAAACTGCTTAGCCCCAGTGCTGAGTCATCACTCCTGATCCCAGGTAGTCCATCCATGGTGGCAGGCTCAGGTCTGGGAGAATAAGACAACACAAGTGTGGCACCTGAAACAGGACAGTCCAACACTGAGCAGAGTCCAGTGGGCAAAGAGTGGTCACAGGAAGAGACCATAGGCAAATCACATTAAATCTCTGGGCCTCAGCTGCTGCACATGTGACATGAGTGGAATTAGGTGGTCTCTGAGATTGAGTCCAGCTCTGACCATCTCTGGCTCAGTGAGGATCAAGACCACCCAAGGTCTGCAGGGAATGGCAGCCACCTTGTTGGATTTCACTCTGAGGCTTTCTCTGACACCATTGGTAACTTCACTATTCTCAGCTTTATCATTCTTAGGGATTGGCCTGGGGAGTAGTTTCCCCAGAGGTCCCCTGTATATGAGTTAGAGGGGTTGTTCATCACACCCACATAAAGCTGTCAGACCAACGGGACCATAAATGTAAACATGTAGAATATGCTTAAATGGATTTCTGCTACCGTGCCAGTTTGCACACCTGCAAACTGGCACAAGCATGCCAAATTGAATTCATGGGAAAAAATTTCATTGAGAATTGAATATAGAATCAGCCTGTATTTGGCTGTCATCATTCATAGGCACTGTGAGAAGTCAAGGTTGATTATATTTCAGGTTGATTTATACCTCCTAATGGATGGTATGATCCCTCTGGCTAAACCATCCATTAATGTTCTGTCTCCACAGCTCCCCAGGAGTGTGGGGTGGGAAGGCCCAGGTGGGAGGTGGGTCTGAACCGATTATCATTTGCTTTCCTAACATGTCCAGTGGATGATGATGGCATTGTACTCCTGAGAAGATTGAGTCTCATCTGCCTTCACTGAGGACTCTGCATGTGGTCCAAGAATAGCCTTTGGCTGAGACCAACCTACATCCACCCTACTCACTGATCTTCAGAACCACCTCACCAGCGGTCACCTTCTCAGCTAGGAAGATTTCTCTTCTGCAGCCCCTCCCTTGGACGGCCAGCATGCAAAAAGGGAAGGGAGGCAGTAAAGAAAAGAAAAAAAAAGATTGCATCAGATTTGTAAAAGCCAGCCGTCCTTCCCTGGGGCCACAACCTTGTCACGAGCGGAGATGTTACCTGACATGGCCTAAGCATTCTGACTCCAGAGCTGGTGTGCTTAGCCTCTATACAACACTGCCTCTGTGACCTCAAACTTAAGTGACCTTAGACATGCCACATGTTCTCATATGTGGGGTAATCATCTAGGTTTCAAGATGATTACCCTCTGAAGAGGAAATGATATATCCTTAGACATTTAGTCCCAGCATCTGCAAATTGATAGAGACATAGGCTAAGTTTCAGTTCGTTAGCGATGGGGTCAGGAATATAGCGGGCTTTCAGAGACACAGAAAATAACAGAATTGGCAGAGTGCAGGTAGGGTGGGCTGGCTCTGGCATCTGAGATCATAGGGTAATCTTCTGCGGACAATATCTCCATATGATTGGATTTAGGGGAACCCAGTGGATTTAAATAAAGCACCTGAGTTCTCAAAGGGCTTCCTGCTTGTGACAGGTATCAGTCTGTTTACTTGACCTATAGACTATCAAATCCACTTCAAATCCATCCAGAAAATCTCGGTCTATCCACTTCAAAGAACAAAAACACACTCATTTATCAAGCTCTTGCAATGGGTCGAACATCTGCTAGGCACTGGGAACTCAGAGCTGATAGTCTCTTGGGGGGTGTTGACTGACAAGTGTTCTGTGTTCAGATGACTGACAGGTGTTCTGTGGTGCACTGTGACCTGGGAATGCACACAGTGCTGTGAAAACACAGAGGAGAGCCAACTAGCACAACCTGAGAGGGCCAGGGGAGGCTTCCTGACAGAAGTTTCCCTTTAACCATCTTAAAGGGAAAGAGGCACTAGGTAGGAAAATAAAAGAAAAGTGATGTTCCAGACAGAGGGTACTGTACATGGGGGGAAAAAAAAGACACTAGGGCTGGGCGCGGTGGCTCACGCCTGTAATCCCAGCATTTTGGGAGGCCAAGGCAGGTGGATCACCTGAGGTCAGGAGTTCGAGACCAGTCTGGCCAACATGGTGAAACCCCATCTCTACTAAAAATACAAAGAAAAAAAAATTAGCTGAGCATGGTGGCAGGCGCTTGTAATCTGCTACTCAGAAGGCTGAGACAGGAAAATCACTTGAACCCAGGAGGCAGAGGTTGCAGTGGGCCAAGATCATGCCAATTAACTCCAGCCTGGGCAACAAAGAGTGAAACTTCGCCTTAAAGAAAAAAAGACACTGAAGCAAGGGATGAAACGGAGTGCTTGGAACACAGCAAGAGGTTCAGAGAAGCCGGAACTTACCTCTATTGTGAGAGAGCCAAGGCCACTCAGGCCGGCAAGGGCTGATATCCACAGCATCTGCCATGGCGTCTGGGTCCTATCCTGAGAGGCTGAGCCATCATCCAAGAATTCTAAGCCTGGTCCTGAGACGCCTAATCCTTTCCTCGATACCAGAAAAGCTAGGAAGTTAACAGAGTACAGGGGGAGGGAGGTTCAATTCCCTGCATTGGCCCTTAGTTCAGGGGACCTTGATCAAATGGTTTAACCTTTTTGAATCTCTACAGCTTCATCAGTAACATTGGTGATGACAATATCGACCGCATAGGGCTCTATCTAATACAATCTAGATGAGATAACATATGTAAGCATTTATGGCATTTGGCAGTGCACTGAAAAATTATGAGCTCCACAGATTTCTTTGGGGGAGGGTGCCTTCCTTCCAACACTTGTGATAGATACAGTGGCTTATGCCAACGCTAGGTGGTGCACGATCCCCACGCCAGGACGTCTCCCAGATGCAGGACCACAGATGACAGCTTCAGCACAAGCTAGTCTGGGAAACCCTGGCTAATGGAATACTTTGCCAGCCTGACTCAGTCCAAAAGGCCAGCTTCAGGCTCACCTGTATTCACTTGTCTGTCCTTGTTTCTTTTTTCCGACTAATGTTTAATGTATGTACTGTACTCTGTTATATATTGCATTTGTTTCTGATATTTATTTCATTTGAGCACTCAGCTTGGATGCATCTCCTTGAAGGATATGGCGGCACCCAGCCCACATATCCTGGCATCCTGATACCTGGTTTAGTACATAGCTCAGGTTTAGTACATAGCTCAGGTTTAGCATTTACCAATTTAATGAATGAACAATTTTAAAGTAATTCAGGTAAATCCTGTCATTTAAAAAGTCAGTCTCTTCTCAAGTTGCTAACGGAAAACATCAATATATAAGGTTTGCTTAAAGAGACATGCGACATCTCGCTAAAGGATCTCTCTCTGGTAGCCTAAAGTTTAGAGTCATTCTGATGCCAAATGGCAGGTCCTAACTCAAGGAGCAGTTGAAACCATCACAGATGCTCTCTGAACATGTTCTTCATATCCTGAAATTCAGCATACTAGGGCATCACTTTCTCTTACCCATTCAGACTTCCTTCTCCTGGGAAGATCAACCATCGGGTCAAATTCCTGAGCCTTTTGCTTTCAGGTCACAAATCACAGAGTGAGTAGTGGGAGGTGGGTGGTTCTAGACCAGGCCCAGGCTCAGGGGAGGCCTGGTTGTTAAGCTCCATGCTGACTCCCTGTCTTCATCTTCATCTTAAGTCTGGGCTTGCCTTGTTTCTCCTGCTTGCAGAAGAAAATTATGCCAGAAGCCGCACAGCCCAAGACAGGCAGGGTGGGATGATGGAAAGGGTAGGCCTCACCTTGATGAGGGGTCCAGGTATTTTTGGTTCTTAAAAGCTATCCATTGAGCCTTAGACAAGTTCTCTAACCTCAATTCATCTATTTTAAAATCCAAAATCCTTGGATGACGGCTTAGCCTCTTGGGCTAGGACCTGGATGCCATGGCAGATTCTGTAGGGATCAGCCCTTCCCTGCCTGAGTGACCTTGGCTCTCTTACAACTGAGATAAGTTCTGGCTTCTCTGAACCTCTTGCTGTGTTCCAAGCACTCTGTTTTATCCCTTGCTTTCATGTCTTTTTTTTTTTTTTTTTTTTTCTTTTTGCCGTGTACAGCACCTTCTGTCTGGAACATCATTGTCCCTTTACTTTCCAGTCTAGTGCCTCTTTCTTTTTAATGTGTGCTGTTGGCGGGAGTTGGACTGTACAACTTCTAAATCTGCATCTGGCCAGAGATCGCAAATTTGCCAAGGGCACAGGCTGGCCTTTACAAGCGTATCTGCTTACGTCCAGCTGTGTCAGTCACCTTTGGCGAGTCATCAGTGGCCGACGGTATGGTCCAGAGGCCGCTGTGAGGATCTTGTGCCATCACACACATAAGCTGATGGGCATCATGCCAGGCCTCAATGTGTGGGTCACTGTTACCCTTCACAGCCACGTTAACCCCACAGGAGAGTCCCACTTCCACTCTGCAATGGTCTGGGAGGATCTTTCTTCAATAGGGGAGAAGCCAAGTGGTTTCTGAACCAGAGCAAACCAGAGGTTACCAGCCTCTGGTGCCTGAAATCCAAGCTTCAGTTCTGCTTGGAAACATGGATGTGAGGACTTCTGCACAAAGGAATCATTTCTCAGAAGGGATCTTTTGGCCAGATGAAATAATTAAAGTGATCCTTGTTTTTAGTTTGGCTTCTGCTAGTCACACATCAAGTCTCACCTGAGGTGGAGCCACACCCAGTGTGATGTTCCTCTCATCCAGCTATTGAGACCCCTTGGACCATCAGCAGCAACAGCAAGAGGCAGCTCTGCAGAGGCTGTGCATCCAGCAGCAGCAGCACACACACAAGCAGCCTTGGTGGGCCAGGCTGCAGGATCCTGGGCCAGCCCCCTCCATTCCTTCACCCTTAGTATTGCACACACTTGGAGAAGTGGGCCCATGTCAGCCTCTGTGGAAGGCTGGCTTGTGCACGTATGCTTACTCCTGTTTTAAGTGGTTGTTGGGTTCCCTGGGTGCAGCTTGGCTGGTTGACTCATATAGAACATTCTTTCCATGGTCCTTGGCTTCCTTGAAAAGGGAGAAAAGGGAGGAATCAGAGATTGGTAGAGTATTTTTGGCCTGGGGTTTAATGCTGAGAGGGCTATGGTATTCTCAGGGTGCAGATGCTCTTCTGCTCAAACTGCCGCCCCTCTGCCTAAGCAGGTAAGCTTCTGGAGGGACTGGCTGCAGGGAAGCCTCCTGAGGACCCCCTTTGTGAAATAATCACCATGCAGTTAGGTCTGCAGTCATTGACTAGAAAAGGCCCTGTGAGACTGCTGCTCAGGCCTGCTCATTGCTGCAGCTCCTTTCTCTGTGGTGTGTGTGTGTGTGTGTGTGTGTGTGTGTGTGTGTGTGTGTGTCTGATACCCAGGGTACCAGAAGTAATAGCTTCTTCAGATCAGATTGTACCAGGTCAGGAGCTGTAATAAAAGGTATGAATTCTGCAAGTTCTGCTACAAAAGTTGGGGATCCTTAAGGGAATGAAAATGATCCAGGGGTGGGCTTATAGAACTGGAAACATGCTTGACCAGTGGCCAGAGGATTGGAGCTTGTCCTCTCTGCCACCAGCTGAATGTGTGCGTGTGGCCTGAGGAAAGTCATTTAACCTCTGAGCCTTAGTGTACTCACCTTCTGAACTTGGATGTTAACTCCTGCCTCATGGGACAGTGGCAAAAATGAAATCAGATTGTAAAGTGGAGTTCAGAATTGGGTTTACTATTCTAGTAGACAGACCTGGTGTAATGTGGATTGGCTGGGCTTAGAATGTTGGATTCTGCTCTAGTAAATAAGATAAACAAATCAGGAGGATAGTTGAAACTAAGTAGAAGCAAATGCTTGTGAGCCATGTTAGGCATAGATAAAGATGTGATGCATGTGTGTGTATGTACAGATAGGAAGGGACGAAGGAGCTGAATGGGCACTGAATATTCATGATACACACTAAATATACATGAGGCACGAGAAGCGCCAAGTGCTCAGGATACAATAACCACACACCAGACCCATGAGGCACTTGAAATTCAATGAGCCACCCGCTGGCAATGCCATGATCCCCTAGAAATGCAGATAAACACCCGTGGCTTTCAGCAGATGAACTGATAAGTTACCTCTGTGGCCAGTCATACTTGTCCCATGTCTCTCTGATGGGATCGGGCCCCAGGCACCATCCGTCTTTTGAGCCCCTTGCTCCGACCTCAGCTCTGGTTCTTATAACCACACCGTGAGCAGGAAGTGCTGGCTGAGTTCAGGACGACATATGTTTTCCTCTGTCCTCTCGGACAATGTTCTAAGTGTGTTGTCCTTCCCTGTCCCTCTCCCCTTGCTTCTTGCTGTGTGTTTGAAATTGACCTAATCACCCATGTGATCTCAGCCCCTTTGGTCCCTGAGCCCTTCTGTTCGGTGACCAGAACAGCTAGCTGGTATAAACCTGAGTCATTTTCCCCCATGACACTTGGGGTCAGAACTTGGGAGCCAGAGCTCAGGGCAGTAGAGCTGCTGGCTTCAAATTGTCTGGCTTGCCTTCTGAGATGTGAGTGTTGTGTCTATAGATGTGTGAGGGTACAGGGGTAAGGGGGTCTCTGCTGGTTCCTCTGATAAGGCCTATTAGTTCCCCTCCCCACCAGCTCTCATCACAGTATACCACTTCCCAGAGAGAACATTGAGCAATGCCTATA